GCAATCTTCCTCATCTTCAACGTTGAATTCATTAGGACGAAATTCGTCAAACGAAGATCGCGGTGCCCATTGGTAAACACTAATTCTGCTCTACACCTCATTAATGTCACGAGTCATTTGCGCTGTAAATCCGAGTTTTCATTCGTAAAAATAAATTTTCTCCCAACGGTTTACCGCCTCATCGTGGCTGTGTGGTGTTCCTGGGTGTCGAGCAGCGATTTACAGCAGGTGATTCATTCCCTAGCAGGGTCTTCCAAGCTGAGAAGGAGTCCGGCGTTTGCATCAGGAAGCCTAGCTGAGGGCAAACCAACACCAGGATCCACCACCGTCTTGGTATCAAAGTCGCATGGTGGTAAATCTTCCTCTGATCCACAAGGGGTACGACTGCCTGTGATGGTGAAGACCTGGGGCAGACATTGGCTAGGCTGACGTCGAGACTCCATGGAACCACAAGGACTAAACCAACAAGTCTCCGAGGAAATGGAAATTGTGTTGGGGTCCGCACAACCAGTGGAGACGAGACATCCGAGTATCCAAGTAAAAGTAAATCTTTCAAATTTGTCGTTTTTACACATCAATTTTTAACCTTTGAAATTTCTCAAAAATACAGTTTATGTTATAATTCAATTACACACAGTGAAACTGGATAAGACGAGATTTGCAATAATATATAGTATTATATAATGCATAATAAAGTAATATGTAAAGAAACAGGCAATAACATTATTCTTATTTTATATAATAAGAACAAGTGCCGAATCAGTATAGATGCTACACCATAATAATGCACGGGTCTCACTCACAGGGAGATCTTCTGCCGGTTAGTCGCAATGCAAAGTGGCGCGTCCCTAGGTTACTGCGGATAGGGGGTTCATCGCGGACTGAAGTGGACCTTTTGCTTTCCCAAGACAGGATCCAAGAGATGGAAACACTGTTTCTGCTCCGCCGATTTGACACATGCTCTCCGTATTTGCGATGGAATATTAATGCAGGTGTGGATGGCTGTTTTTTCGTTTATGCGAATAGTTTTCTAAGGGTTAATTCGACAAAAATCCTGCAATCAAGTGAGTAGGAAGTATGCGAAATGAGGCTAGAAGTTGCCTCCAACAAGTAAGCTTCCCTGACTACAGTGGAGAGAGTGGATAAACCCAACCTCCACGTTCAAAACTCAGCATGCTATGTCTGGGTATCAACCGCTAAACACAGTGAAACAGGTGGGTCTCTCTCCGTCTCTTGGTCTTTTCTTTTTCTTTCTTTCCTCAAAGGATCCTCCGAAACAATAGCGTTGGATACGACGAGTAAAAAGTAGCTACTAGAATCTCAGAGTCATTTTAAAGTGCCTAATCTCGATGGACTAAGGCAACAATCTGTAACTAAGATGCACACGCACTTTACATCTGAATCCTCCGTAGAGAATTTCGTCATGCAGAAGGATAAGGTACGGTGTCATCGGACTTGCTCAGAAAAGAAGCCTCGATACGACAGGTGATAGGTGATACATCATTTTTTATTGATTATTATTTATTTTATTTGACCCATCTTCACGTCTACTCTGCAGATTCCAGCATTTTCCCATTCGATTCGTTTCCACGCATCCATTGTCCACGAAGACCCCCAACTTTACATGTGGCTTCGGTTGCCGCTTGAGGATTTTCATTTCATTTTGAATGTCGTAGAATGCTGGTCGAGCAATTCTCCCTGGAGTCCTGAGATAGCCACGCTGGAGCGCTCCCAATTGGATTGCAGAGAGTGATTTTTCCCCGGACAAGTCCAGTACCAAGTTCCCGACTCGAGAGGGATGAGAGGCTTAGTTGCCCCAAGACGGGATAGAACTAGCACCGTGCTCCTGATGACAGGCATCATTACCACTGTGCTATCCGCCCCTTGATACAGCATACGAAATAACACTACTGCTAAAACATGTACAAGGAGAATTAAGTCATAAACCCCGCATTAATTTCCGAACAACCTGATATACGAACTCTTCGGATGTGTTGGGCGCTAGTAGGGTGTTCAGCAATAATTTTCTTTCAGAGTGAGAAGTTTCCAAATAATTGCACTTACTCGGATATTAACCAAAAATCGATAAGTGGTGTAACTCCATCCGACACATACACATTCCCAGACGACTAAAACACACATCGCCATGTACAGAACGGAATAGCTGTTCTCGATTCCTTCCTCAACGAGTAAACATTGTGATTCTTTCTGATTCTTTATTATTTCTTAATAATAGTGAAAAACATTGCTGTGTAATTTTCTTCGTATTTTTGTTGAGAAAACGCGAGGTGTTATTATTCTTTGTTCACGATTAAGCTGACGTTTCGGCGGATTTCGCCTTCCTCAGAGCCTGGAAAGGTCAAGTTGATAGCAATCTACTCGGCCAGACGCCTCCATAACCAAACAAAGAAACTCTAAACCAAGATTTCAATCACTTGTACTACGCTCAAATAAGAGGGTTGGCGATGGGACAACGACTGGCTCCAAACCTTGCCATTGCATTCATGTCTAAGGTGGAAGCACCGGTGACTGATCTCGGACCGCTACTCTACTGTAGGTATGTAGACGACTGCTTTGTCCTTTGCTCAACACAAGAGGAAATGGACAAATGCTTTGAATTGTTAAACGCACAGTCAGAGTACATCAAGTTCACCCGAGAAAAGCCGAAAGAAAAATGGCTTCTATTTTTGAACGTACAAATTCACCTATCAGAAAATGGCTACATTACAAAGTGGTACCGAAAGCCAGGTAGTAAAAACATCTTGGTTCATTACCTCTCCTCTCACCCCTCTCACATGAAAAGGGCGCTTATAAGAAACATGCTTCGAACAGCAACCAACGTGTGCACGGGAAGAGAACAGAGGAGTCCCGGAACTTGGCACGGCAAATAGCCATTTCTAATGGCTACGAAACTGTAGCTCAGGATAGGTGTAGAGGAAATCGTAGGCCTCCAAACGACACTTCTAGCGATAGAAGGGTCCCGTTTATCCTACCCTTCATCTCAAATGATATAAGTACAGCTATAAAACGCTGCTTAAGAAGGGCGGGCATAGAGAATTCGGTGAGCGTAGTTGAAATACCACCGAGTAATCTTAAGCGTCAGCTAGTTCGTAGCCGCCTATATGACCGTCTATGTGCAACTCAAAATTGCATAATTTGCCCCAGTGGTAGAGACGGTGATTGCATGAGCTCGGGTATAGTTTATCTGATCTCCTGTAAGACGCGTGGTGACGAATACATTGGCGAAACGGGTAGACCCCTCTGTGTCCGCATAAAAGAACGCCTAGCCGGCAAACATAGACCAAATACACGGCTAGGCACGCATAGGACCCAGAGACATAACGGGGACGACTTTGAAGTATGTGTCACGATCCTCGCACGCGAATCAAGAACACAGGCGCGAAAAACTCTCGAGGCATTCTGGATTAATTCCAGAAATCCGAAAATAAACCGCAGGGAAGAATGCGTCATTATCACGCGTGATATAGGGCAGTATATAAAACTGCTTTTCTGATGTGAAGGGCACATTATACTTCCNTAGAGAATTCGGTGAGCGTAGTTGAAATACCACCGAGTAATCTTAAGCGCCAGCTAGTTCGTAACCGCCTATATGACCGTCTATGTGCAACTCAAAATTGCATAATTTGCCCCAGTGGTAGAGACGGTGATTGCATGAGCTCAGGTATAGTTTATCTAATCTCCTGTAAGACGTGCGGTGACGAATACATTGGCGAAACGGGTAGACCCCTCTGTGTCCGCATAAAAGAACGCCTAGCCGGCAAACATAGACCAAATACACGGCTAGGCACGCATAGGACCCAGAGACATAACGGGGACGACTTTGAAGTATGTGTCACGATCCTCGCACGCGAATCAAGAACACAGGCGCGAAAAACTCTCGAGGCATTCTGGATTAATTCCAGAAATCCGAAAATAAACCGCAGGGAAGAATGCGTCATTATCACGCGTGATATAGGGCAGTATATAAAACTGCTTTTCTGATGTGAGGGCACATTATACTTCCATGTGATTTCTGTGCGGTTGGTCTCTACGTGACATACTTAGTGGAAACCTCATAGGAAGCGGTGAGTGTGCAAAGCTGTGTTCAAAGTGATTGAAATCTTGGTTTAGAGTTTCTTTGTTTGGTTATGGAGGCGTCTGGCCAAGTAGATTGCTATCAACTTGACCTTTCCAGGCTCTGAGGAAGGCGAAATCCGCCGAAACGTCAGCTTAATCGTGAACAAAGAATAACAACACCTCGCGTTTGCTCAACAAAAATACGAAGAAAATTACTTGATCAATGCCGAGGTTAAAATTAAGCATTTCTTTTCGGAAGCCCAGATAAAAATAAACTCACGTCACGCTGAAATCCGAAGGGCTACCAATGGCTACCCCTCTCGCTAAGAATAGTAGGACAAAGAACATCTTATCAAAGTCATCCTTTTTGTGTCCCTTGAGCGAATAGTCTTCAGTGAAAAGGGCGCGGTAGGAAAGAATAGTTTTGCCTGGTGCTACTCGGGGCACTTGCTCATTAACAGGGAAAGGATTGATGATTTATTCTTCCGGAGACCCACGCATTTTTTGGGAGGATCAGATAGAACCTCCTGGATGAAAACAGGACAAGTACAAATTGAAAAAGAAACAAAACTAACTGTGTAAGCGAGCATAAAGTATTCATAGGAGATAGTGATGAAGACAACACTTTCGACGCAATGCTGAACAACGGAAGGGTGCACTTTCAGGAAGGATGGGAAGAAATAGCAAAGCATCATTAGCACATCCTCCACAGCCAGTAACTAAACAAAAATCATTTTGCTACACGAGAGCTGTCGGTTTTTTCGGTCACCATAAGTATTAGCGTAAATACTAGGTTCTGAATTCAATTACAATTTCTACCATGTTTACATCTTTACTTCCGCTGGCTGTCGAGAGACTCGAGCAAAGGCCAGTAATCCTTCCATTTCTCCCTGTTCGGTGAACCACAGTGAGTTAGGCGCCGTTTAAGGACTCATTGAGAATGTCTTTCTTGCCATTCTTGCAGAGTCTTCGTGAAGAGCTCTGCACATCGCTTCGGTGCTCTTCTTGTTGTGCATTTGACATCCCGACGAATTCAGCCGCCGATGGCCCTTATCGATCGTTTGTCGTTCAGATGCGTTACTATTTCGGTCCATTTGGTATTCGACATTTTCACGTGCATAACGGCGTTTTTTCTTTAATCGTTGACGGAAGGCGGGACTTTGCATTCGCTTTTTCATTGGCGTGATACGGGATGCTCCTAGCATCATGCTTACGACTGCTCCTTGGATAACGCGGAGTATTTTTTTATCCCGCTTACTTAGCGACTCGGTTCCCGGCACGTATTTTAATGCAGGAAGTGTCGTTGAGTTGAAAAGGTGGGCATGGAGCTTCGCCAAATGTATATAGCTGAGAGAGAGAGAGAGAGAGAGTGAGATGTAAGTCATTTTGGCGAAATGGTTTGGCTTAATCGAACCCCTCTCTTTACGTTGATGTTAATACCGTTACGGTATGGTGATATTCTTATTCTGAAATTGTTGTTGAGCCCAGTAAGGATATAGGACGCGTTAAGTGGCGACCCTGGATGTCCCGAGTTTCTATCACTACTTCTGTCTCAAATAAGTCAATCGCTTTTGCTAGGCTGATAAAAGTAAAACAGAGCCATCTCTTGTACTATCGCGATACTTCTGTGAGTCTCCTGATCGTGTAGTTGTGAGCCACGTACTAAATCTTGCTCAAACGCACCATGACTGAAACGCTGACATGGTTGTCCTTATTCCAATGTTTTACCAACCTTGTTAAGAATGAAACAGTTTCTAGATGGGAAACAGCAGGCTGATTTGATGATATTGGACGATATATCCAAACTACCTACAGAGGCAGAAAGACTTGGCAGCTGAAAACAGCAAAGTAATTTCGTGGATACTATTCTCCATCGCTTTTCTGGAAGCCGTCACCGTTTCGTCTGATCGTTGGATTGCGATAGTGTTAGTCTGATAATTGGCGAAGTTTCGGCTGGCGCTACTAATGCCTTTCCTAACCTTTGCAGTTTCGTCCATTACTTCGCCTCTTTTCTCCTTAAGGTCTTCTCTAATCGACTTTATCCAGAGAGATTTGCAGATTCGGACCTATGTTGGCGATTGCCTACGCTTTGTACAATTCCACACAGGGGTGTAAGCTCGAATGTTCCTGTACATAGGAATCTTTTCATGACTTTCGAATTACCGTACTTTTTAGCATTAACGCGAAAGTGTTGAACGAGGCGGTCGTATTCTTCATCAATGCCGATTATGGCATTTTGCCAAAAGGTATTACTATTGTTATGAATCATTAGCAACAGTTGATGGTGGTCAACCGATTTGATTTCTTGAATTCCGTGACTTTCCCTCCTTTACATGGGAAAGAGAATGTCGCGGGAAAAGCGATGGTTTGTGACCCCGCTCAAAAGTTCGGGACAACAACGACATCGGGCGGAGGAAACTGTCGATTTACTCATATCGAGCTTTACTGTGAAATAAACCATAAAAGTGAGGGACAGCAAGGTTGAAAAGAAATGCTGAGGTATTGTCATTTTCGTCAAAACGTACATGATATGCAGTGGATAGGACCGTCATTGACGCTGCCAATATCATTCCTGCCCCCTTTGCGTATGCGTTTGAAACGCCAAAGAAGTACAACGGTGTCGCGAAGTTCATCGACTCCATCTTCCATTTCATAAGAGCGCCTAGAACATAAAGAAAATAAATATCTTTCGTCAAGTTGAAATGAGAATGCCAAAAAACTTTTAATAATAAAGTACGATTGGCTGCGTTGTTTATAAAAGCAAGAACATTTGTTATGGGAAAGTGTTAAAGGGAGAAGTCGTTAAGAATGATAGCGCTGAGAAAATTATTCTTTCCGAATGATTTTGCGATTTAGTAAATGGTTTGCAGCATGAAGTGGCCGCTTAGCTCGGGAAAATAGATCCTGGGTTGTGGGTCAAACATGCATCGTACCACCTCAACTAATTTACGACTGAGGTTTAGTGCATGGCAAACCGCTAAGCGATTCACTAACACCAAACGCTTTACCCTTTACTATTTTATCATAACTAATAAAGGATAAAGCTTGATCTCTCTGGCTGTTTAAAGAGATCAGGGGAGGATAGGATAGGATAGGCAGAGCATGGTGCTAGTTCCATTCCGCTTGGGATCAACCAAGACTCACATCTCTCCGGCGTCAGGAAATTGGTGCCGGACTTGTTCGGGAAAAAATGACTCTCTGCAATCTAGTTAGGAACGCTCCAGTTCCGGCTATCTCAGGATTCCAGACAGAATCGACTTGACCAGCATTTTATGATATTCAAGATAAAATGAAAATCTTCAAGCAGTAGCCGAAGCTACAAGTAAAAGTTGGAAGATCTTCGTGGCCAATCGATGCAAGGAAACGTATCGAATGTGAGGAGTGCTGGGATCCGCACAGAAGACATAAAGACGGGTCATATAAAAAAAGGTTGATCACCTTCTGAGGGATGCACGCGCATGCGACTTCATCAAGCATCGTATAGATGAGTGAATGCACGTCTGACTTATACAATCACTTACCGAGGTACAATACCAATTTACAGACCACGGATAGACGAGTGGCTTCGTGAGTTCTAGGCCTAACGTCGAAGCAGCGATGAATTCAGCATGCATTGTAGGGAAAGTCTAACCCAACGCGCCACAAGCGTCCCTTATTTTGTCATTTATTTTTTATTTTGCCGTATTTATCATATTTGTAAAACGAACGGAGACAAGCAAACGGATCACCAACGCAGAGTTTCAGCTGGCACGTCAATTCTTCTGTTATGCCTGTATTCTAATTCCAAGCCAACAACTGTTGTCATTCCGAACGCTATGCTAGCGACTGTCACGTAACACAAGTTGAAGGCTGTTATCTCAATAACATTTCTGAAAATGAGTGTGGAGGAATTGAATACGAAGAAAAAGTGATTGGTTTCCATAATTTATCTGTATGAAGAGGAAAAATTTATTGGTAAGTCGTATAGTAAGAAAGGTCTTCTACTGTACTTAACACATGAAAAGAAGGATGAAGTTCTCGGCGTTGATCAATCCCTGAGGGATGTGCCATGTAGTCGACTTCATTAAGCATCGCTGAAGGTGATTGAATGCGTATATGGCCTTTGCAATGAATCACGGTGGCCTACCGTTGTATCGAGTCAGTGCTACCATCTTCCCAGACGAGTCTGTACCAATTCGCCGACCGCGGAGGGACGAAGGGCTTGATGAGCCATGGGCGCGTGAGATAGATCTCATATGTATTGCAGGGCGCCTCCGACCACTGCGCCACATTCGCCCTTATTTAGTTTTAGGTTTTAGTAAAGAATGAAATAATAGCAACATGTAATAATTTAACACATAACACCAGAAATGTATAGTAGACAGTGAATTCGGTGCGAAAATAATGACCAGTTTCAAATTTACACCACAGCTCTGCTCATATTAGATGTCGGAAAAAATGAGAATCAATTTTGCTTACAAAACACAAGTCATCTTATCTTACCAACATGAGATTGTGATTTTCTGCACCCAATAACATTTTTTTTCATCTGTTTCGATGCTGAGAACCTTATGTTTCGAACCCGAAAGCAAATCAGCAAGCGAGATTTCATCCAGCGTGATACCATGGGCTTTACAAGTATATCGTTTATGTTTGAGAGCTACCGCTATTCTGTTGTCAATTTTAAAAACCTAACCTTCATAGAATCCGCCTTTCCATTAGGAAGCTCATATAAGTGTAAACCAATACCAGGATCCACCACCGACCTGGTATCAAATTAGTCGCATGATGGCAAATCTACCTATGATCCGCAAGAGCGGCGACTGCCTGTGGTGGTGACGACCTGGGGCAGACTTTGGTCAGGCTTCCTCTGGACTCCAGGGAGCCACAAAACCAGCGGAACTCTGAGGAAATGGAAATTATTCTGAAGGCCGCACAACTATTAAAAACAAGCCATCCAAGTACCCAAGTAAGTGCGTAACTATCGTTATGGGCTTCTTGATCATTAATTCTAAACATATTTAAAACTGAAATTATACCACATAAAGAATACAAATGTGTTCAAGACGATAGAACGAAGTCACTTCTATAAGTCTAAGAAGTTATCACTTTCTCAGAATTTAACTGAGAAAACTTAACTTAGTAACTCAGAAATTATTAAAAGATGTTTTATTTACTGCCTATTCTTTTTTAACAGCAGGGTATACATTGCGAAATATAACTTTAATGATGCTGAGATATTTGCAAAAATCCGGACCGCAGGTGTCTGCGGTGTGGAACGGACGCGCTATTGTCCTTTCCGGGGAGTAACACGTTCACCACCACACCATGCGGGTTCTTCGTTTCGCCTGTCTCTCAGATAGTTCTATCGATCTTTTTCCATCAGCAATCACCCGTCAACGAGATTGATCTGGGGAGCCCAAATCGGCATCGAACCCAGTTAAGCTGGGGATGCAGTTATAATCAGAATCTTAACCGTTTTATTTACTGCGTATTCTTCTTTAACGGCAAGGTATACATTGCGAAATATAACTTTAATGATGCTGAAATATTTGCAAAACTCCGGATCGCAGGTGTCTGCGGTGGAGAACGAACGCGCTATATACCCTGCCGTTAAAAAGAATAGGCAGTAAATAATAGGTTAAAATTGTGATTATAACTGCGGTCTCAGCTTAATTGGGTTCGTTGCCGATTTGGGCTGCCCAGATCAATCCCGCTAACGGGTGAATGCTGTGGCAAAGATCGATAGAACTAGCTGAGAGACAGGCGAAACGAAGGACCCGCATGGTGTGGTGGTGAATGCGTTACTCCACGGAAAGAACAACAACGCGTTCGTTCCCCACCGTAGACACCAATGGTCCGAAGTTTTGCAAATATCTCACCATCATTAAGGCTATATTAAAAGATGATTGATTGTTAACAGCTTTATTTATACTATGGCTTAACTGGGTTCAGTGCCGTCCTGTGCTCCTCAGACCGTTCCCGTCGACGAGTGATTGCTGATGGCACTGTTAGAGTCCAAAACTAGCTCAGAGATCGGCAGAACGGGGACCTAGGTGGTGGAATGTGGAACACGTGAACCCTGGAAACGGTAATCGCGGCCTCAAACCGGTATCTGGACTACAGGTTTTGCAATTATCTCAGCATCATAGTGGTTAGAAATTATTGTTAGTTGTTCGACAAATTCAGCTTAGGGCGTTATGTGTTAACATTATTAATGTACCGCAATTTCGAAAGCGCCAAGGGACTAGTTAAGTGCTACTCTCGAATCGGTGCAAATTTTCTGGTCATATACAATTCTTACTGTAGAATGTTAGTGTCGAATGTACTGGTCGCTCCAAGTGAATGAAGAGAACCATCTGCGACCGATAGAAGCAGCAGTGACTAAATCACATCACAATTGTGTGTCGTTGCCTCTCAACGAGCCCATGCTCGCGCGGAAACTTTCTATAGTGGCGCTTTGGCTTTATTGTTATTATTTTAAAAAATTTGTATTATGCTTGCTAAATTTCAGCTTAATCAACTGTTATGCCATTAACTCATGTCATAAAAGCACCACCCTCAAGATGACAGCCAACCGCAGCCGCTGTCTCCGTGCTGTGAGATGGCGATACATTGTGAGTCAGTCTACTGAGAACTTACTATCAAAATGTCAACGCATCTTATATTCCCTAAAACCGTGTAGTCAGTGTTATAAAGTCAACTGTTGTCACTTTTGTCATCCTTGTTGATCTCTCTGGTTCACAGCTATGAATACACTCATTACTTAACGTATTACCACTATAACTGCTTCTGCCCATGTGTCCAGCGAGAACAAATAGGACGGATCATTGTTGAGCACCTAAACTACGTGTAGCTATTACTTCTTACAAATCATTGGAAATAAGATCACACACTCACCGTGAAGAACTTAGGAAACACCGTGTAGTAGCCAGTGGGAAGAAGTGAAAATATTGTGAGCATAATAGCAATGAAGGAGAACATCACAATAACTGGAGAAGCCTAAATAGTCCTACCAATACGAATGAGAGAATGTTTGAACAAAATCTACAGGTACTGAAAACGTAGCACACTTCGTTTTCAAATGAGAATGCAGAGGTTCGTTATCGTCCTTCCTAGTACAGATCATATTTCGTCGCGGAGTGGTGTAGTTTTAGTAGTGCCAGTAGCGCAGTGGTCGGAGGCGCCCTGCAATACACATGGAATCTATCTCCACGCCCCAAGCCCACCAAGCCCTTCATTCCTTCGAAGTCGGCAGGCTTGTAGTAGACTTGCCTGGGAGGAGAGCTGCACTGACTCGATGCATCGGCAGACCACCGCAAGTCATTGTCAAGGTCAGAAATGCCTTTAATCACCTCCAACGATGCTTAGTGAAGTCGGATGCATGGCGCATCCAGGGATAGATCAACGCCGAGCGCTTCATGTTTTTTAATCTCTTTCGTCTTGGAAGAGGTTGTTCTTGGTGCCCACCCATTCTCTCAGAGACTTTTCGGAATTTCAGTACTTCTGATAGAATCGTCCCGATACGATTTGTTTCCATGTCAATACGTAAAGGATAGCGTTTTAAGAATGACTAATTAATGCGCTGATGTTTACACTGTTGCCAACCAATGTTATTGCTAGGAATTCCTCATGAACTCAACACTCTTCCCACATTTTCCTTTCATTCATTGGGCCTAATATTTGTTGAAGTTGGTATGGATTTCCTTACCTTTGAGAACTTGGATACACCTATTTTGGAACACACAAGACACACCATGAAGAACGCAAGAATGCCGTCTACTCGGTGTCCTCCCGGCATCGATCCAATTACCCTAGATATGCTCATATACATCACTTCTAGCAGGCAAATTAAGCACCGATTCCTTTTAGAGCGATTCCAGAAATTAACTTTCTATCATCGAGACCAATTCTTCATTTCATATCCATACTTAGGCCGATTTAAGTTAATTTTATAGAAAATACATCCGACTTCGACTAGTGTGTTTGGTGGATTTCGTCTTCTTCACAATGAACGTCAGTCAGTTGTCTTTCTTCTTAGCCGAAAAGTGGTGGTGACAGTCTTCTGCTCACGTAGCGTGAGCGCAGGAGCTTTAGGCACACGGCAATTGTTCCGTTCATAGTTCTGCTGTGAGACTTAGTAACTGTGATGTTTATTACTGATAAATATGTTAGAATAAAGAGAGCACGAACTAAAAGATTTCTTGAGTGAAAATCCTCATTTGTAGCAGTAATAATGCCAAAACAAGATTAACAGATTCGTTAACAGGTTTCACGTTACCGTTTCTCCGATGGTATCGGCTGTGCGTACTCGCTCTTGTAAATTTCTTCTCTCAATAACTGACGTGTTTGCAAATAAATCAGAGACTCAGTCGTGAGGTTTTGTTTCTTAAAGGTTTCCTTATTTTAGCAATTATGAAAAATTCAAAGGTGAATTGATGAAGTAATGAAGAAAAGACCATAGTTAATTCGCGTAGATCATAGCACTCTCCAAGAAGGAAGATTTTTGATGAACTGCACGCATACGGCAGGTAACAGTCTGGAATGAGCAATGGTTTCTTCTTAACCTCAGGCGGAAACGCATGTCGTGTAGTGATATTAATGGAGTGATCTGCTTCAGTATTGAAGAATTGGCACAACAACGGTATAGAAGGATTTGTATATCCATGGAATGAAAGGATTGCTTGAAGCGGCTAACGTTTGCCATTTAGACGGAACACACAGCTAGATCTCATTCGTATTCAGATGAGATTAACTAAATCCAAACCCAAATAAGAAGTTCAGCTCTATGCCTGCACCTGCGCTACTTGTCGTTAAACACTCCACATTTCTCCTCTCAAAGAACGTACTTCCAATGAGCTCCCAAAATATTGAACAAAACCTGCAACACATTCCAAAACTAACGGAATCCGGTCTTAAAGAGGATAAGGATAAGATAAAGCATAGAAATTTCTAAAATATACCTGTGCTCAGTTTTAAGACTGAGAATGAGCAGAAATCTCATCACAAGCATAGTATATCCAATGCCTAAGTGAATGCGATTAGAAACTTGTCAAACCTTCTTGTTATTCCATTTCTAAAGAAATCACTTGAAATGACAAATATTTTGTTAATCGACTGTTTCAACCGTGACTACGGTAACTATTTGCACTTTTTGTCGTTTATACGTATAACCGAATATGTTAAACTCATAAAAGTTTTGTCAGCAAAATATTTAGAAACAAGTGACTAAATTATTCAGCACTGAAATGGGTAGCTTACCGGCTGAGATTGGGCTTATCCTTGCAAAGACATGAGCGGCCTGTTTCGACGTATATTGACCGAGCGCCAACTCCATAAAGGCCAACGGAGCAGAGATGAAGCATGTCGAGATAGTCAGCGGAATGAGGAAAAACACTTGAACGATGATGATTTAAACAGAAACTCTCTGTAATCTCGACCGGACCACATAGTGGTATTGCATAAATATTACCCGTATTACTTTGTTATTGTTTCCATTACCATTCCTATTATCCCTTTCAGTGATTTACTATCGTTTAATAATACCCATAACAGGAAGCGCTCCACCCTGTTCGCTCCGTTCCAATCTGTGGGTCCTAATATAACGTTCTCTTGGATATAATCTTAGTGTTAAGTCTCCAATAATGACCTTAAAGAATGTGTGGTCTCCTTTGTAGAACTTCTTTAACCATATTGAACGCTTCTACTTCGTCTTCGTCACAGCTTGATGTCGGTGCCTAGACGACGAAGATTATCGAAGCCCGTATGAATCCAGTACTTTTCAATTGTAAATATCCTATTCGGATTGTTCGAATGAATCGATGTTAATGACCAAACTCGTGTTGACCAGAAGGCCCACGTCTCGGGATCCTCTACTGTTCCATTATCCGAACAACATTTCTTCTCTAGTGTCGTAGACGGGTTGAATGGATGGTGTCGTCTCATTTCGGCCAGTCCAATGACGTCCTACCTTACTTTATTCTTCTCGCTTGTATGATCAAGTCTTGTATCTAAGACTCAGATGCCAGTGTGCGTGCATTGTACGTAGAGATCGCTAGTGCAGTCCTTTGAGATTTAGGCAGCCTAAGATGACCGTGGGATTTCAACACCCTCTCCGCATTCGTCCTACGCAACGACACCGCATTGGGGCCCTTTCGGGGTGCGGGACTCTGGCCATTTTATTTTACTGTGTTTGTCGCCTGATACTCGTTTATAATTTTCTAATTTCTGGGCTTAGAGTCTTGTCGTACTCACGGGTAGCTTGCCAGTCTATTTCAGAATAGATGTGGAGCTTATTTGTTGGATATGACTTCTAACTGCCTGCAATATTTGTTTGTTTGGTTATGAAGGTGTTTGGCCGAATAAATTGCTGTCAACTTGGCCTTTCCAGGCTCTGAGGAAGGCGAAATCCGCCAAAACGTCAGCATGTACGTAAATAAAGAAATGAAATAACACCTCGTGTTTGCTCAACAAGAATACGAAGAATTACTTGATCAATGCCGAGGTTAATAGAAAGTCGGCTGTGGGAGTTACTGCAAGATGTACCAACAAGATACTTACGACTTGTAAAAGAAGCGCTGTTGCTTAGACAAAGGATCGTCTTAGATCGACAGTCGAGTACACTGAGGCGCCAGCTAGTTCGTAACCGCCTATATGACCGTCTACGTGCAATGCAAAATTGCATAATTTGCCCTAATGGTAGAGACGGTGATTGCATGAGCTTGGGTACAGTTTATCTGATCTCCTGTAAGACGCGTGGTGACGAATACATTGGCGAAACGGGTAGACCCCTCTGTGTCCGCATGAAAGAACACCTAGCCTGCAAAAATAGACCAAATATCCCGCTAGGCACGCATAGGACCCAGAGACATAACGGGGACGACTTTGAAGTATGTGTCACGATCCTCGCACGCGAATCAAGAACACAGGCGCGAAAAACCCTCGAGGCACTCTGGATTAATTCCAGAAATCCGGAAATGAACCGCAGGGAAGAATGCCTCATTATCACGCGTGATACTGGGCAGTATATAAGACCCTTATTCTGATGGAAGGAACACATTACGCTTCCACGTGAATTTTGTGCGGTTGGTCTTCATGCGACATATTTAGTGGAAGACTCATAGAAAGCGGTGAGTGTGCAGAGCTGTGTTCAATGTGATTGAAATTTAGGTTTAGCGTTTTCCTTGTTTGGTTGTGGAGGTGTTTGGCCGAATAGATTGCTATCAATTTGACCTTTCCAGGCTTTGAGGAAGCCGAAATCCGCCGAAACGTCAGCTTATTCGTGAATAAAGAATAGAAATAACACCTCGCATTTACTCAACAAGATACTAAGAATTGCCTGCGATATGGTCCCTGTTACTTGATTGCAGGCTTCTGGAGGAATGGACTCGTAGAGTACAATCCGCCCAAACAAAGACACACCCACGCACGCATGCATGGATATTTCTTCATAAACCTAGGAGATATGTGTGAAATTGGTGCAACAGAAGAAAGGGAGTCAATCTTCTGAATCCACCTGCGCTTCAGCGAAGAATAAGGTCAGTTTTGGCCCACGATTAACCCCTATCCACTCAATACGGACGCGCCACGTTGCCTCGCAGCAAGCCGGTAGGAGACCATATTGTGAGGAAGATCCATGGAAGTACAGGCAGTAAGTGTTATTGCTGTTATTGTCATCATTATTATTGTCATCGGCTGTATTGTTTCCGGTGCATAGACAAGTAAGTAAGTGGAAATTGATGTTCATTAGTTTCAATAACCCGACATAGAATACAGCTGCATTCATATCCCTTTCAATTCAAAGAATTAATTAATTAGAATTTCGTATCCAGAATTTTTCAGTTTTCTCTCCTTCTTATCAAAAATGGGATTGTTGTAGAGAGCTATGATCCTACCGAAGTAAAATATTGAGATAACAGTGAGATCGACTGGGGAAAACCGTCCGTCTACTATCATGTGTCTTACTGCGGTATTATGCTGTCTGTAGAGAGACCCCATTTCCGACATTGAGAGCTTCCACAATTGCGAATTAGCATGAATCTCTAATCGAAACGTTCATATGTTCTTCTATGGACCATCGACTCGAATCATCGGCTAAGATCAGATGAAGACGTCGAAATGTTAGTCTAATAAATATTTGGTCACAATCTCGTGTTAGCTTATTAATGAGATAAGGTACATTGATCATTTATCCGAGGTTCAATGAGAGTCGATTCACTATGATTCTCTTTGTCCTCAGAATCTTCGCATGATACAACGTCTCGACTTCTCCTTCGTCATATATTGTCGTAGGGTAGTCGATATCGACGATTATCAAAGTCGGCATTGTTCCACAATTTTAAACATTATTCGTCAGAGTTGAAACATTAATGGTTCAAGAAAACTAGGTACTTATGGTGCAAACTCTTCCCAAGCGAGATTGTTTTCTCGTCACGAACAGGATTTAATTGCCAGCAGCACCTTTTGCCCGGCCAGTGTGATGATGTGTAGCAAACACCCTACGTTATATGACCAAGTCCTGTAGAATTAGAGTGCGGAAGAATGCGCCATGCGTTCGACTTCATTAAGCATTGTTGGAGGTTATTGAATGCGTATATGACCTTTACAATGACTCATAGTGGCCTAGCCATGTATCGAGCCAGGCTGCTATCCCTACAGACAAGTTTGGCACCAATTTGCCGGCTTCGCAGGAATGGAGGGCTTGATGAGCCTTGGGAGCGGAGATCGATCCCATGTGTGTTGCAGGACGCCTGCGACCACTGCGCAACACGCACCTCTGTGCGCGCACATAGATCTCTATATTTCTACTAGATTTAAGCCACCTACAATAGCGTTGAGATGTTATTGGTCTCCCTGTATCAGCCTTATCCACGACAGTCGCATAGAGAGTTTTAAAGAATACAGTACAGGAGCGTCAAGTATGCAGTATTTCGCATACTATAGGGCAGGAAAGCTTGCCTCGGTTTCCTGCAGTGGAACAGGTCCTTATAACGAGCCGCCTCCTTGTGTTAGATCGATCGGGAATTAATTCACGACTTGTAATTTCTTCATGAATATGTTTTACCGACTTCGAATCCTGTACTATTACGTATCGATCCAAAACCAATTTTACGCGTTTTCAGTCCATAGAACTGAATCGTGATATAAATTGCATTTTTTACAAAGCTTAAAAGTTAGACTTGCAGGTGTCAAAACAGCAATTCCGACAAATCTACTTCTAGGAATTCGAACTTGGAGATGCGCAGTTCAAACGAGTCGACATATAGAGTAAAGGAAGCGTTATTGGATTAATACTGCAACGTTGGATTCAAAAATTTTGTTGTGACGAATTCAACACTGAGGAAGAAGAAAGTCTCAGATATCCTTCTGCTGTTGACAGCGATGAATTGAAAGCTAAGATGAAAGCAAACACACGCAAAACCCTTCGGGAATTGTTGTAGAACTCAGTCTAACCATCTCAACAGTTCCGGAGTATGTAAAAATTTGGAAATCGAAGAAACTCGACAAATAAGTTCTGTACGAATTGACCATACGTCGCACTACTACCACTGTAAAAGTTGAAGCAGCTGGTTTACGAAACTGTGCTTCATGCACGTGCTGGCCAGACCCTCGCCTGCTGAATGTCACTTGAAGCATTTTGACAAATCCTTGCGCGTTAAATGCTTCAAAAAGAAACACTCCGTAGTTGAAGCTGCCTTCAACAACTTAATCACATCCAGGACTCGAGTTTTATGCAATCGGAATTAATAGAAATAATAACGTACTGAAACGAGCGAATAGCGCAATGGTCGGAGGCCCCCTGCAATACATATGGGATCGATCCTCGCGCCCAAGGCCCACCAAGCCTTCCATACCTAAGGAATCGGCAAATTGGCACCAGAATTGTCTGGGAGGATATCAGCACTGGTTCGATACATCGGTAGCCCACCACAAGTCATTGTAAAGGCTAGATATGTATTCAATCATCTCCGACGGCGCCTAACGATGTTGAATGTAGGGAGCGTTCCGCGGGGATTGATCAACGCCGAGAGGTTTACCCTCCATTCCTTTAAAAATGTGCTCATCGAATTCGTTAAAAATCTAATCGCTAGGTAAGCAGAGTGGACGACCACTCAACAACAGCGACCGACAGAAAGAGGGAGACATGTATTGGCAATATCCCGGGTAACGCAAGCGAGAGGGAAAATGTTCCGTCCTGCGCTCAAGGTCAAAGACGGTTATGCACGTTGAAATATGGAAAATTGTGCAGACCACACGTGTGATAGGTCTAAGCGACGGGTGAAGAACAACAGTCGTTAGCGGATTCCACGAGATAACAGCAGCAAAGACATACACGCGATGGTTAGATCTCTCGAAGCAAATGCAA